TTTGCTTTGCTTGTGTTGCCGGCCTGCGCTGGCAGCGCTGGCCCAGCCACCTCTTGGCGTGCGCCAGTCGCCTTCTCGCGTGGTTTTTGCATGCGTCGTCTGTGTGCTGAGAGTTGTCTCCTTGCATTGCTTGCATGGGCTGGCAGTCCGGTTGTAATCGCCTCCTTGAGTGGCTTTTTTACAGTCGCAGGCATCTTGCATTGCTCACTTGCGTGGCAGGGCTGTCCCCATGACTGCCGTGCATTGTTTTGCGTGTCTTGGCGGTGCCATCCCAGTTGCCTTCTCCCGTGGCTTGCATGTGCTGCCACTACAACTGCAGTCATCTTGCATTGCTTGCATGTGTCGGCAGTGCAGTTGCGATCACCTTCTCTTACAGCTTGCTTCTGTCAGGTGCTATACTAAGAGTTGCCTCCTTGCATTGCTTCTGTGTGTCAGCGCTGCCATCCCAGTTGCCAGGGACGTGGTTTGCATGTGTTGGCACTATAAGCAGAGTTGCTTCCTTGCATTGCTGTCGTGTGTTGGCAGTGCAGTTACAGTCGCCTCCTTGCATTGCTTGCATGTGTAGGCACTACAGTCATGGTCATCTCCTTGTACGGCTCGTGTGTGTTGGCAGTGCCATCCCAGTTGCCTTTGCCTATGGTTTGCATGTGTTCTCTCTATAATGAGAGTTGCCTTCTTGCATGGCTTGCGTGCATTGGCACTATAACTGCAGTAATCTCCTTGCATGGCTTGCTTGCGTTGTCCCGATTACTGTTGCACATTGCTTGTGTGTGGCAATGGAGCCATCCCAGTTGCCTCCTCGCATGGCTCGCACGTGCTGGCACTATGGTCACAGTTGCCTCTTTGCATTGCTTGTGTGTGTCAGCGGTGCAGTTCGATCACCTTCTGCTATGGCTTGAATGCGTTGGCACTATGATCGGAGCTGCCTCCATGCATTGCTTGCGTGCATTGGTGCTGCAGTTGCCATTGCCTCCCTGCGTGGCTTGCATGTGCTGCCACTACAGTCGCAGTCATCGCCTTGCATTGCTTGTGTGTGGTGGCAGTGCCATCCCAGTTGCCTTCTCCTATGGTTTGCATGCGTTGGCACTGCAACTGCAGTCGCCTCCTTGCATTGCAAGTGCGTTGGGAGTGCAGCCTGACTCACCTTTTCGCGTTGCTTGCGTGTGTCAGCAATGCTGTCCTGGTCGCCACCATGCAGTGCTTGTGTGGGTCAAGGAAGCCAGCGGTAGCCCTGGTCCTTGCTTAGCTGCCTGTAGGAATGGTGTGTCCTGACGGTATGGCCCTGCTATTGCACCGGTTGGACCTTCTGTCTTCAAGATACTTAAAATCCCGCAGAAGTCTGTATGTGATGCAGTGGGTGTGCCTGCTGTGGGGCCCAGGGGCAAGGTGGTGTGTGGCAGGATAGCCCGCACGTTAAATAAATAGCTTCTGCTTGTGTGTGGCTGGTCAGTAAGCACTGGAAGAGCATGCCTGTGAATAAGTAAGGAGCACAGCTTTTGTGCACAGCTGGTGCTGTGGGTACAATAGTGGTCAGACCCCATCAACACTGGGATTGTGGCTGATTTATTGCCACATTTCTGGGTAGAATTTAAACTGTTGTTTCTGGCTGTTAAAGATCTTGAGATGTCCCTCTGTGAGGGAGATAGTGCTGTGCTTAGCAGGACAATAGATTTCTGAGCTGGAGGGCTTGTACCCACTTCAGATGGAAAGGAAGAGTTTTGGGGAGGATTTTTCCCCCCTGGTTTGCTTCTGCCCATTGGGAATAGTCCAGATCTGGCCACTGGGGCACAGACACAAGCTTTCAGCTTTCTCTGGGGGCCTGCTCTCCTTTCGTTTTACAGGATGTTTGGGGCTTTTTTTCCCAGTTGCACGAGCCTGGGTGCGGTTTTAACAGCTGGGTAGCTGGTGCTTATCTCAGTTTTAAGACCTCATTTAAATCTTACTACAGTCGTCTCAGGCTCAACCATGTTAAGATAATTTAAATTAAGATAATTTAATTAAGATAATTTAAAACATTTCTTAGGAAAACACAATGGATCTGCAATGGTTTGTGTTTTATTGTAAATGTCATTAAAGAGGTGGTGTTCCCAACTAGGAGGGTAGAATTTGCAGTTTGTTAAAAGTCTTGTTTCAAAAAATCCATGAGGACTATGTCAAGTAGAAATCACCTTTTCACAACTGATGCAAAGTATGTAAGGAGTGGTGGAGTAGAGAAATTGAGTACACTTATTGATATGAACCAGGTGGATAATTTTTACAAGGATTGGAGAGAGTTCGGCCACCTCGCTGGTTAGCACTGCTGATCCAATTGTAGTAAAAGATCTTTATACAGTGTTTTTAAACGCTGGAGTAAGCATCTCGAGCTAGTCCCTCACAAATAAGTGATGGCATTGGGAAGGCTTTTGAAAGAGGGCTTCTACGTGATCTTTACTCTCTAACAAACTTAAGAGGGAGAAGAAGGGTTTAGAATGATGTATTTTTTGGTGGTTGCACAGTTGCCAGTTGAAATCAGTAGTTACCTGTGTCATAAAACAAGACAGTGCATTTAGCCTTACTTTTCTTTTTCCCCCCTTCCCCAGTGGGTGGTGAACAAATAAGTTCAATAGGACGAGGCCTCTGTGTGCTGCTGGGCATTTCTTTGGAAGATACGCAAAGAGAGCTGGAGCACATGTAAGTCACGTATTTCCTTTTGCTTGTACTCTTTTATTTGTGCGTTTCTGATACTGAGTCAGTGATAACCTGTGCAGTAGCCAAACAAATGGGGTGCTCCTGTTGGGAAACTCAGGTTTGCCTGTTAGTTCCTCTTCAGGTTTTACCTTAAATACAGGTTTCTTAGTTAGAGTTTTCTTTTTATGTTCCAATAAGAAAAATCTGTTTCCATTCCCTGTTTTTTATCAAGAACAGACTGAAAAAGGAAGAATCAACTTGTTGATTTTTTCTGATCTGCCTTTTTTAAATGTCTGTCCTTTTTACTGTATGAATTTACCCCAAAGGACTCCATTCTTCAAGGACGGGATGTACCAGAAACCTCAAACTCTCATTTTAGCTTGCACATGAGAAGTTTTGTTCTTTGAAAAGGCTGGATAGTCATGTCAGTTACTTTTCTGTAAAAGTGAATCAATTTTGGTAGCCCGGAGGGCTGGCTCTGGCCAGCTGTTCCAAGGCCACAAAATATTGTGATTTGGCCAGCAAACACATGGAAGAGAGAGTTCTTCAGGAGCTGCTTCTGTCTCCTTCGGACTGCTCATTGTTTTAGATCTCACCTCAGTTCTTATGAAGGCAAAGAAGAAACAGGTAAAAGAGCTAACTGATGTCAAGAAGAGGAAAGGCTCAAGCAGTGGAGAGAGAAGAATGTAAGCGAAGGTGAAAACAACCCTTAGCAGATGCAGAAGAGAAAGTAGAGAGTGGGGATGTGAACTAAAGTTCACCAAAGATCTCACATAAACATGTGAAACTTGTAGTGAATTGCAGCAAAGCTGAAGGTGTTTTTATTATGACATGCTCCATTGGCTTTGCCTTACTGTTTGCCTCCTCAGTGTGTAACATTTACTCTATTGTTGTTTCTCGTTCCTACCTTGGTGAATGTGAAAGATGCTTCTGAATATTGCAAGCTGGTGATCCCTCGCGACTGTGCTCTACACCAGGTTGGTTGGATGACTCACACAGGAAAGGCAGGAAGCCACCATCTGAAAAAAAGGAATGAAAGAAATCAACTTAACCAGGCTCTTCAAGTCCTATTAAAGGAAACTTTAGTAATCCTGTAAATGAAACAACAAACATCTTTATCATTAAAACACAGCAATGACAATGGTTTAAGCCTACCTGCTGGGGCCTTCCAAAGCTTTTAACCATCCACTTCATTCAGGAGACAATTCCGTTTGTCTATGACATGCACAAATTGGCAGGGATGGTTTTTGTGACTGTGCCTCAGGGGGCTTGGCCTAGATGACCTTTAAAGGTCCGTTCCAACCCAAACTATTCTATGATTCTATGATTCTATGATTCTATGATTCTATGATTCTATGATTCTATGATTCTGTTCTATGACTATATCAAAGCCTCAGCTTTATTTCATACTAACTGCCTCACCTCTGGTGCAGTGTAAAGTGTCTGGCTGATGGCTGCAATTGAAATGCTTTGCACTTGATATGCTCCCTTGTTTATAGAGGCTGCAGATTTGTAGAAGCGAAAAGAAGAAAACAAAGGCAGGTGAGTGGCATGTCTGCAGCCTTGTTATTAGTCAAAGTCCAGCTGTAGACTGGGTTGCAAGTCTGCCTGCTGCTTTTCAGGATCCATTTGTGAAAGTCTCCTTGTCTTCTCTGAGTATTCAAACCAGTCAGTTCTGACCTCCAGATCCAGAAAACAGCCCTAATACAAATACAAACAAGTCCCAGTCACTGCTTTGCTGCCAGCTGCAGTTCTGCGCTGTTCCCTGCCTTCCTCCTGTCATCTGTGGCCAGCAGGTCGAGGGAGGTGATTCTGCCCCTCTACGCTGCTCTGGTGAGACCCCACCTGGAGTACTGTGTCCAGCTCTGGAGCCCTCAGCACAAGAAGGACATGGACCTGTTGAGTGAGTCCAGAGGAGGGCCACAAAAATGATCCGAGGGCTGGAGCACCTCCCCTATGAGGACAGGCTGAGAGATTTGGGGTTGTTCAGCCTGGAGAAGAGAAGGCTCTGGGGAGACCTTATGCAGCCTTTCAGTACTTAAAGGGGGCTTATAAGAAAGATGGGAACAGACTTTTTAGTAGGGCCTGTTGCGATAGGACAAGGTATAATGGTTTTAAACTAAAAGAGGGTAGATTTAGGCTAGATATAAGGAAGACATTTTTTACAATGAGGGTGGTGAAACACTGGAACGGGTTGCCCAGAGAGGTGACAGATGCTCTATCCGTGGAAACACTCGAGGTCATGCTGGACAGGGCTCTGAGCAACCTGGTCTAGTTGAAGATGCCCCTGCTCATTGCAGGGGGTTGGACTAGACAACCTTTAAAGGTCCCTCCCCAACCAAACCGTTCTATGATTCTATGATCCTGATGAAAAAGTGCTGTCCTCATCTGGCTTGTGGGGCC